GGCCATATGCCGAGGGGGCAAAATCCTTTGGCTCGATGCCCAAATGCCGAGCCATCCTCCGGTAGATGAGGGCCTGGGTGAAGAATTCGCCGGCCTCATAATATTCTCTGCCCTTCTGGGCCATCCATTCCCACCCGGGGCCCTCGGCCCATTCCTCGACGTATGCCTCCACGACCGAGGACAGCCACATCTTGCGTCCCTAGGCCCTCCAGCCCTCGGCGACGAAGGCATCAACGGCTTCCTCCCGAGCCTTGGCGACGGCTAGCGCCTTGGAGTCCTCGGCCTCTTTGGAAGCTCTCCTGGCCTCCTCAGCAGCAGCCTCAGCATCAGCCTTTCCCTTCTCTGCGGCCTCCAATCTCAGCTCCATTTGCCGAAGCTCCTCTTCCAGCCTGGCACCCAGCTTCACCGCCTCTTTATTTTTGAGGATGCATTCCTTCATCTTGGCGTCCTGCTCTGCTTTATGGAGGCGCCATTCTTGAAGCCTCCGGGCATGTTCACCGAGGGCTAGACAAGCCTGCAGACCAACAACCAAAACGGTTAAAGGCAATTGCACAGTATGATCAAAGGAGAAAAGGAAGAAAGCCGAGTAAACACTTACAGAAAGGGAGGAGCGGAGAATGTGGTCCTCGAGGGCCGCATCGTTATAGGCCCCGAGGGCAGCCCTATCAGTCTCAGGGGTTATGCCCCTCAAGATGGCCCCCGGGTCAACAGCGCCACTGGCCAGGGAGGTCCCCCTCGGGAACGAAACTTGGAGGACCTCAGGCAGCAACTCCTCTGCCCCTGCCGGCGTTTCACCCGACGGCTTCTCCACATGCACCCCGAGGGTGGGGTGCTCATCAGCAATGATGACCGGGGGCTCCTTCTCGGCGATATCCCCCTTCTTCGGCTTTTTGGTAGCCGGGGGGGACCCCTTGGTCGCCGGCTTCCTCTTGCCGGCAACAGCATCGCCCTCGGCTTTCTTGAAGAGGGCAGTGGCGGGCTTCTGGCTGCCCTGTCCCGACCCCTTCGGGTCCTGTTTCTTCAGGCGAGCGAGGCCCTTCACGTTCACCATGGAGACGGGGATACCTGCAAAAAATATGACAAAGGGTTAGGCCGACGGGTCTAAGCGAAGGGACAATGACATCCAAGCAAAAAAAAAATAAGTACAAAAATCTAAAGCCCTCGGCTCCTACCTCCGGCTCCTCCGAAGGCCTTGTTGAAGGGAGGGTACTTCTCATCGGTCTCCCCTATGAAGCGGTACCTCCGGAACCCGAGGGTGTATAAATCCTCCTCGAGGGTGCAATCTTTGATCGCCACGTTCTTATTTTTCCCCTCCGGGAACTTGGCCAGCTTTAGGCCGTCTTTCTCGAGGGCAGCACTCCTGATCTTTTCGTGCCTCCGGAATCGATCGCGCAGCTCCCTCGGGAATGGGTTCTCACCCAACTTTACGTAACACCAACGTTCCCTCCATCCTTTGTTGGAAGAAGGAGCATCGGAGAATAGCTTGAAGCGGGCAATCTGCTGCAGGTTTGCGTACCCCTCGCCGTTTTCATGCCCCCCCCCCCCCCCCCCCCCGGCACAAATTAAAGCTCTGGAAGAATAGATCCAGGCTGGGCTTCACCCCTCGGGACTTGCAGAGCTGGAGGAACCCCGCAATGTAGGAGTGGCTGTTGGGCGTAAGTTGGCAGGGGACCAAACCAACGAACCTCAAGTACTCCCGGAGGAACGGGTGCAGAGGGAACCTAAGTCCCATAGAAACCGAGAGGACGTGGATGGCGATACACCCCTCAGGCGCCCTGGACAGCACGTCGTCGGGACCTGGCTCCACCACTTCGACCGAGGGCCCCACGTGCAGCTGAGTCACGTACAGATCTGCCCTATCAGCCCTCGACCTAATCTCGAGGGCCTCAGTGTTCAGCCAACTGTACCCCTCGGGCATGTCCACGGGCTTTCCTTGATCGACGGCCCTCTCCTTCTTCTTGGTAGCGGCCTTCTTCTTCTTCAACCCGGAAACCGCCCTCAGAGGTATCAGATCTAGCGGCCTCGAGCTACTGGCCTCCCCAGAACCCTGGGGGGGGGGGGGGGAGAACAGCGATTGTAGCCTTCGAGCTCTCATTCTGCGCCTCATCCTCCGCTGTTTGCCATGCGAGGGCTAAGTCTTCATCCTCGCACTCTTGCTCGAAGCCCTCGGCTTCGACCTCAACAATGAGTTCCTTCTGGACCTCCCGGGCCAGGGCGGCATCAGCACCGTCCGAAGGCTCGCTCACGGACTCCACATCTGAAGCATGCTCCTCATCAACCGAAGGGTCCCCCGATATGTTTTGGGAATCGCTCTCGGACGACATTCTTTGCCACGAAAAGCACCTATGGTTTCGAAAGATTTCTACGGGACCCTAACCCTAATCTAAGACCAGGGGGCGGAACTTACAAAAAGTGCTGAGGGGAAATCGGGACACTGACCTTGAAAGGAGTTTGACCGAGGGCTTGAGTTTCTCTCTCTAGAATTTTTTGCAGAGCTTCGCTAGGGGTGTTGGATGCGTAAAGGAGGAATGGCCCTGGCTTGGGGTATTTATAGGCTCCCAGATCCGGGCTTGGGCCGAGATCCGGGCTCCCAGCCGCCAAAGCCATCATTACGCACCGTCGTTTCACCCAACCGGTGACGCCCGCCCGCGAGCAGCCAATGGCTACATGCCACGTGCACCCCCCCAACGGCTATAAACCTGACGTTAGGTATTCCAACGGCTATATTTCCAACGGCTATATTCTGGAAGCCCCCGGGTTTTCTACTTCACTCCACTTCATCAAGGATAGCCTCCGGGTACACTTACCCAGAAGTGCCCCCGGGTTGTGCCCCACACAGCACATAACAGACGCCTTCGGGGTAACTCCTTCAGAAACCCAGGGCTTCATATCAGTGGACCCCCCGGTAACAACTCTCGGGTAATGGGAGTTGCCTCATTGACGGGTGACCCATGGCACACAGGTAATGGGAGCTCTCGGGTATCTTCATCACCAATTAATCAACAAACAGTGGACCCCCCGGTAACAACTCCACTGCTACCCTCATCCAGCGGGCCCTCGATCCCCTGATTGAGGGGCTCCCCTTCGGCGCACCCAGGACATCAACAGCAAGCCTCCGGCTAATCAACACAGGAGCCCTCAGACGAGAGAGCCTTCGGCATTCCCGTTATCCTCAATTTTTTACCAAGGTTCGACATTTTCGATTCATCATTGGGGGAATTCGGTGCACTCTTTTTCCCTCATTAGGATTTTTTCCCACAGGGTTTTTCCTAATGAGGTTTTTAACGAGGCATCCCCCCAAAATGAAACGAAAAGCGTCAGCCTTCGGCCCACAACAACAACACAACTACTCTACTCCTTTTTCACCACTTTACAAGTGCCTCAAGGAGTGGGGGACTGGAGGACCCCCTCGGGAAAATCATTAAATTACAAAATTAGTAAAAATCCAACAAACGACAAGGCAAGCCCTCAAGTCCCGACATGTGGATAACTGAGGGACTGCCTTCGGCAGGGACATAAAAGCAACAACTCCTCACCAACTTCAGAGATCACGACGGGACAACATCAAAAGGCAAGCACAAATTACTTCTTTTCCCTCAAGTGCCTTTCGGCAAAAGGAGTGAGGGACTCCTGATGGAGTATATGGCCCGGGAACCCCCGGCCCACAGACTCCTACTACTCCAGCAAAGGCCCAACAGGCCCAAATCACAGCGCCCAGAGTACCAAGCAGCCCGCACCACGCGCCAGGGGTGCCTTCGGCCCCCTGGCCGAAGGCTCTAAACTCTCACAGAACGGGTTTCTCAAGCAAAATAAGAAACTGGGAGAAAACGGCAAAAAACAGTAGCCCTCGGCACTGTGAGCCCTCGGCACCAGGGTGTCATCGGCTGGAGGAGCCCTCAGCTACTGCTCTATAGCCGAAGGCATCTCACTCGACAAAATATCCGCCTCACATGCGTACAGATCACCGTACCCCGCACAGACGTCCCATCCAACAGCCGCATTAAATGCGGCCACATGCGGCTGCCTGCACCAACCAGTTGAGATGACCCCTCGGCCAATGAGCGCTTGACACGTGTCCCTGCCCGGCATTTATTGCTACTATAAATAGCACCTCATTTCCCCATTTGTAACCACGCTGAAAACGGCATTCATACTGAATACACTCTCTCTCTACTTTTACTTACTTGCTCTGACTTCTCTCTAAGTTATTCCCCGTAATAACCCTTCGGATATATACCCCGGGTAGACTATCCATCACTTACTTTAATCTTTAAAATTTTAAATTTTTATAATTTTTAATTTTTCAAAACTTTTTGTTTTTTACCTTTTGAATAGTTTGTGGTTACCAACACATTTTCTCTGAAATACCTCGATTTGGGGGTTTAAAATGGGAGGAAGTGGATGATTTTGAAAGTGTTTCACATTACCCCCTTCCCCCTATTTCCTTTAACCAAACACACACAAATCCTCCACTTTTCTCCCCTCTCCTCCAAAACCCTCCAACCAAACAGGGCCTAAGTGATCACAAACACCCTGGAAGCATAGAGAGAGCATCTTTCATTATTATTAACAAACAGGTCCTTTTTATGCTGTGTACTATTGTTTGGTTTTTTAAAGTATATAGCATCTGCCTCAGGTGGGCAGCCAGCTAATCACCAGCTATTGCCACATAATCATGGTCATCGGCCGTGACAGAGCAAAAAATAAAGTACTCCGTATAAGATTATAAAATTTGGGCATTTTTGTTTACAGGTTATACAACTATTGTTACAAAAAAAATCGCCTAGCTGCCCTCGCATATAGGCCGGAGGTGACAAATCCAGCTCAATAACATATACTCAGAGTTCAATTCGGGTAAAGAATAAAAGCAAAATGTAGAAGCAAAAATACATTAAAGAGTTTTTTTACCTAAGTAGGACTAATTGTACTTTAATGTGCACAAATAAGACCTCTTCCGTGAGTCAAGTTTCATAGGATTAAAAAGCTGATGATCTTCCAATTTTAGCCTCGATATTAAGTAATTGACTTTTCAGCCTAAGGAAGTTTTCGAAAAAACCGGCCAGAATCCTGCGAGGAGAGAGGGCGAAAACATAGGGAAACGCGGCGCCACAATTATTATGGACTGTTTTTCCGGCGCAAGGCTCGGGAATCTAGTTTCAAAGGCAACCACCCCATTTACTCAACCTCGTTCTGCCATCCGGAAAGTGCAACAGGGATTCCGAGAACTGAGCGTAAAAAGGTGGAAGACGAAAACAAGGGAAGCAGTTGAAGCGCGACGATGGCCGGTGACGAGGTTCCGAAACAGAGGCGAGGACAGCAGACAGAGCGGGAGAAAGCAGATCTGGTATGTTGTACTTATGAACATCAATTTATGTGTTTACGGCCGATATTGTGTTGCAATTGTATGTGTTAGTAAATAATGGAAAAGAATGTCATATGTGCATGACTTTGGAACGAAAATCTGGAAGATTTTGTTCCCAGTGTTCAATACAAATTGTGAAATTTGTTATGATGATAGAATGCATGCAATAGAATGTCATATTTACATATAAGTGGTATGAATATTTTAAATGGCATGAATGGCAGAAACTATGTTGTTCAAATAGATGACAATTCGTTGATGAATGCAATTTAAAAAATTGATAGGATGTATAGACTTTTAAAAGCACTGTAAGAGGTGGTTGTAGTTGATTTTGCCAAAATTTAGGCAAATGAACTAGAGGAAAATGGCAGAATCTGAATAGGTTTAAAACGTTGATGGCAGATATGCCGTAAAATGAAAGTTGTACAATGAAACATGAAATTTGTACAATGAACATATGTAGAACGGAATAAATGTCAGGTAGTTGTGTTTTGGAAGAAATGACAAAAGTAGTGGCTTAAAACGAAAGTTGAACAATGAAAACATGGAAGAAATAGTAGTATGGAGAAAAAATTGGAAGTCAGTTCTTTGGAAGAAATGACAATTTAGTGCTAAGCTATTGAAATATAAGTGGCAGAAAGTGAATGTGAACTTTTTCAAATTTGAAAGCTGCAAAGCAATGACAATGAATATCTGGCATGTATCTTGGACATTTGAACATGATAGTTGTATTATTGATTACACTACTGTAAAAGAAATGTGTGAAATGAATGGTTTTGTGTTTATTTAGGTGATACAGAGAAAATTTGGAAAGAAACAACTGCAAAATGTAGAAAGCATGAGAATTAATTGCTATTGCAGTTTGAGTGAGGTAGTGAAGAGGATAAAACAACAACTAAAAGCTGAAGAATTGGTTGAATTCAGGAGAAGTGTATTTGGTTGGGTATTGGATGTGGAAGAGATGCGCACAATTAGTGGGCAACTTCAACTTGGATTTCTGTGCAACTACGTAAAAAAGGTGAATGGGAGGAAAGAGCTAAATGCCATTCATTTTCATATTGAAAACAGCCTAGTTACTTTAAGAAAAAATGATATGTGCATGGCTTTGGGTCTTAAATTTGGAGGAGTTAAACCACATGTAGAAGAGAATTTTAGGGGGGCGTTGTGGAAAAAGTATTTTGGAAACACATCCGGGGTGAGAAGAAGTGATTGTCAAAATGCTTTAATGAATTACAATAGTGGAGACCCTGACAATGACCAAAACGATGGTGTGAAGCTTGCATTGCTCCATGTGCTGTCACATGGTTTGTTTGGGAACCACACAGCAAGAGAATTACCAGCAATGTATGTGAATTTGGTTGAAAACTTGGATGATTTCAATGAATATCCATGGGGGGATGATGTCTGGGCTGAGTTGGTGGATAACATGAGGACCAATGCCAAGAGTTTAAAGAAATGTAAAGGGACACGCGTCACACTGACAGGATGTTTAATTGCCATACAAGTTTGGGCATTTGAAACCTTCACAGGACTGGCCAAGGCAGATATATGCAGTGTGATTGAAGGGCGAGAGACTCGAATACCAAGGGCTGTGAAGTGGGAATTTGTAAAAAAGCCATCACTGGAAGTTTTGAGCAAAATCATTTTCAAGAATGAAAAGGTAATAAATAGCATTTAGTTGTTAATTACTATGTAGGAATCTGAAAAGATGGTGTTTGCATTTTAAATATAAATTGTTAATTTTATTTATTTTGCAGTTTGAGTGGAAAAGGATGGAGCCTACAAATGTGGAAGGTGAACATTTTCCAATTTTACTGTCCAAGCAAATGAGAAGTTCTGTGAGGAGGAGTAATCCTGGAATTGTTGGGGGATATAGGGTTGATGGGGTGAAGGTATTTCAGAAAATAGAGAAGAGGGTAAAGACCAAAAGTGCAGCCACGGTTTTGGAAAAGGCCAAAAACAAAAAGTTGGAAGAAAAAATGGAAATTGAGGATGAAGGGGAGGAGGACGAAGAGGAGGATGATAGTGGTGGTAAGGTGGGTTTTGGAACTGCCAGAAAGACAGATTTGACACTGAGAAATGTTAGGAAACTTAGCAAGGAGAATGCCAAGATTATGGCAGAATTAAAAAAAGTTAGGAAAACCCAGAAGAGGCAGGAGTTGTTGCTCAAGCAGTTGTTGGAGGCCATGAACAGGAAGGATGAGGCGGAGAGTGAAGGGGTTAGCAAGGAAAGCAAAGAAAAAAACAACACAGAAGAAGGTGATGAAGAAGCTCAAGGAGATCAAGATAATGAAGGAGAGCAAAACGCAGGTGACGGAGATGATGGTGCAGTGATCAGTAGCATGCCAAATTATAACATATTTGGTCCACAAACACAAGAAAAATTCCAGGAAGCAGAAGTAGAAGATGGAAGTGAAGAAAATGTGTTAGAGAGGACTAAAGAAGTAGAAAAGGGCAAATGTGGGGAGAAGGAAAAAGCTGGGGGGAGCAACAAACAAAATCAGGAAGAAGGCATGAGGGGTGTGGAAGAAAGTGTTGGCAGAGGGGTGAACAATGAGGAGGAAAATTGGGAAGATTTGAACACCCAATTTGTGAATGAGTTAATCACAAGCGTGGATGAAGTGGAGAAACTTGTATTAGGCGAAAAAACTTCAGAGGAGCATAGTCGAAAGGGAGAGGTTCATAACAACTCACTTTGACTTGTATTTTGATATATATATATCTGTTAATATTAATTTATAATGGCAGAAAGTTGCAAGTGTGCGTGTCCAGGAGATAGCGCAAGGAAGTGGAAGTACAAGTGTTCATGCAGACGTGAACATAGAAAAGAGTGTAAGTGGTGTTGTATATAATTATGAATATAAATGCATAAAAGTGGAATATTAGTTCAACTATATTGTTTTTTTGTTGATGTGCAGGTTGAGATCACATGTGGTGCCGATACAAGACCTAAACGAAATGCAAGATCTCCAGACAGATATACACCAGCAGAGAATGTGGTGGCTGCAAAGAGGAGACGGAAAGAAAGAGCGAGAAAAAGTGAGGAGGACCACTTTTTACCGGCTAGAAAGTATGGACCATTTGCAGAAAACCCAACTGAATCTCCACCGGAAGAAGAAGTACGGAAGTTAGAAACTTATCTTCAAGTTGGACTATTGAAGAGGGCAACAAAGGAAGCAGGTGGCAGAAGATACCGCAAAGATGAGGACAACATGAGAGGCGTACCATTTATTCTGGATATGGCAAAGATAGAATCAAAAACATGGTTGTACAAGTTGTTTGTCAATCCAGAGTGGCTGGACGAGATGGTAATGTTTCTGACTGATCACTTTTAGAGATATAAAAGCTTAAGTAAAATGTGGATCATAAATCATGACAATGTATGTTTTTATATAAAAAATTTCAGAAATATTCTGTGATTAATTCTTTGATTTTGCATTTGTTCTTAGCACATTTATGCAGGGATGTACTACTTGAATGTCAAGCAAGTACAGTACATGGTGCAGCACCCTTACAGCGCTAGTGGGCCTTACTTTCTACAAATGCTGAGACGTCAAAATGAGAAGATAGAAAAAGGTGAGACGACGATTACAGAAGCAGCGAACATTGCAGTGATTGAAGACGAAATTCAAGGCAGTGCTTCACCATTCTCTAGGAGTTGGGCAGAATCTGAGTTCGTATACCTCCCGCTTAATAATAGCAACCACTGGGTGTTACTTGTTTTGGAAGTTAAAAAAAGAAAGATACGAGTTTACAACTCCAAAACCAGACGGGCTGATAGTTTAAGAGACATTAGACCGTTTGTAGAGAGCATACAGTGGTTGCTGCCAAAAGTCATGGACGTGCATGGTGTTTATGATGAAATTGGGTATGAGCGTATGGGTAACGAAGTGTTAGAGTTGGAGCCTGCCGAGGATTGCCCACAGCAAGAAGACGGGTAAAATATGTCGTGTATAGTATTTTTCAGAAACATAATATTAATATGTAATACAAAATGATTTATTTCGTATTGGTGCGTCATGATTGTAGGGGAAACTGTGGCATGTACGTATTGAAGATTGCCGAATTTTTGATGATGGGGCTAGATATAAAAGAGATCAAGTCAAAGGACATGGCCATGTATAGGCAAAAGATGGCCACAGAGTTAGTGTTGTATAACAACAAGAGGATGGAGGAACGCAAAAAACAGAAGCAGGGACCGAGGAGTTGCATTTGAAACTTGAATGAAATGTTGTTTTTTGAATATTTACGTTTAATGTTTGATGTTTGACTTACAATGTTGACTGAGCGTTTTTCATAATGGTGTAGTATGTCCTTGACTCCTTTGAGTAATGTTTTGGATTTAAATTTTATGTGTAGTTGTTTGCTATTAAATCAAAGTGGAAAAGTTACTATAACAGGCGTATGCAAACGTAGTATTTCTGCCATTAAATGTAATTTAAAATGCCTTTTTATGGCAATTTTGCACTGTTTACGCTTATATTTTTAAATGGCAGAATGTTAGACTACAATGTGGAATGGCTCATTGATATGTTGAGATCAACATTGTACAATGTATAATTTATTATTGGCATTAAAGAAATTGTGAACATTACATTTGTTACACATATCAATTGTGTTTATTTGACGTGTAATGCCAAAAGTATGGCATATATGGATGAAGCATGATAACTGTCAACATTGATTTGTAGAAATTTAATTAAAAAAAGGTACAATTTGTGGGTTGTATGGTACTAATAAAGATGGCAAAATGACATGAACATTGGTGGAATTAAAAATATGATATCCATCAACAATAGTGCAAAACACGTAATCGTATAAAGGAAATTAAAACATCATGTAATCCAAATACATGAATTCAGGAAACTACTGGCTCTAAATTGTGCATAAATTTATGTAATCAACATGGACATTTCAAAACAATGACACCATAATTAAAAATTCTTAAAGAAGAAAACTTAAAAAATACATCAGGCATTTGATATGGGCAGTGGATTGCGGCAGGTTTTTTTGTTGTGACCAATAGCATGACAGCGGGAACATTTTTGACGCTTCGTACGACGATGTTCACCAATTGATGGGATTCTTGACTTTTTGGGACGACCGGGTGGTCTTTTTTGACACGAAGGCGGCTTGCAACGAACATTCAAAACATCAGGAGGAACTGACCAAGACTCCACATCGCAAATAGGGTGCATAACGCCACTCCAGGTGGACAACCAGTAATCTCGAGTGTAATATTTGGATATATAATCATAGCATGACATCGCTGGCCTGGTACCAATAGCAGCAACAGCATGCACACAAACAAAATGAGACAATTGAAAGACCCCGCAACTGCATGTCTTAGAATTCAGATCAACTACAAATGACCGACAATGTCTATCAACCACCTCAAATTCTGTATAAGATGATGGCTTCACCTGATGTTGTTTTTAAAAAAGATAAAAAATAATAAAGTTAAATGATGGATATTCACAGAAATGATTTGGGGGATAAGGTCTGGGAAGCATGGAAGAGGGGTTTCGATCGTAACCAAATGCCATATTTTTGGAATTGCTGCCAGGTATAAAATACAATAACTGAACAAATAATTAAAATCAAATGCATATTTCTTGCGAATAAATGTATACGAACTTAGCACACATTGAGTTACCTGCATCCTGCAAGCTTGTCCTTGAAGGGCCACCAAATGCTTCTCACGTGTGGGAGCAAAAAATGTACGTGTTTTCTCAGCATTTTCCTTCCTTTCTGAAAACCATTGCTGCATTCTTTCCCTCAAGAAATCCACGAGTTTTGATATAGAATACTCTCTTGCAGACACATTGACGTTGTTCATAGATTCAGCACAATTGGAAGTCATGATATCGTATCTCCTAGGACCAGACATGCACTTGGCCCACTTTTGAAAACCAATCTTCTCAAGCCAAGGTCGTATACGAATATCCTCAGAATCCAACAAGGACATATATTCCTCAAATTCCTTGAATGTCGATGCCATGTAGGCAGCCTTGAATTTCCAACCCAAATTCTTACCCGCGCCCCTAAACTTTGGAACCATGTTACGCCGAAGGTGCTCCACACAATATCCATGAAGAGCATGAGGGAAAATATCCTTAACAGCACTTAGAATACCTTCATGTCTGTCAGATACAATAAACATATCAGGTCGGAAGGTTATACTGTCACGCACTTGGCTCAAAAACCAATTCCACGAAGCTTTGGATTCGGAATCACATATTCCAAAAGCTAAAGGTACACAATATGACCGTTAGCGTCTTGGCCACAAGCTGTTAGTAGTGTCCCCTTATAGTATGCCTTCATAAATGAGCCATCAACAATTAAAACAGGTCTGCAAAAATCCCATGCCTGCCGCCAAGGTGAAAGACACATAAAAAAGTAACGAAACTCATCCTCATCACCTATTATTAAAGAAATTGCAGAATTCGGATTTCTCTTTTCTAGCATATAAGCCATGGAAGGTAGTTTCTGATAAGACTCAAAATCAGATCCAAATTGCCTTTGCATGGCTAGCTTTTGAGCTTTCCATGCTTTCTTATATGACATGGAAATGCCATGGGCCACACTCATGTCTTCCCGGATTAGATTTGGTGCATACGGTTTCCTTGATGCATCCAAAAATTTATGGGAGATTAGCTCAGCAACGGTGTGATATGTTGCTTGTCTCTGTTTGCCTTGTCTAAAGTCAATGGAGCAGGTATGTGTGGAGTCGAACCTGCACATGTAAAAATATATGTCATGATGGAAGAAATGCCACATATGTGGAATATTAATACACAAGAATGCAGGTAAAAAAATATAACATGGGAACATACCTTCTAATATGAAACATTTTAACACCACGTAACTTGACACCCCTCACAGCCCATTTACAATTGTCATCACAACATACAACATGCAATACCCCTTTCTTTGATGTAAGTGTTCGGTATTGAAAGCCATTATCAATCGCATACAACTTCAAATGGTGACTGAGGTCAAACTTAGAATTATATATGGCATACTTCATGATCTGTGTTGGATGATAGTGGGTGATAACTTCAACATTATGATGGAAGGAAAATGACTCAGTAGAATGTAAATGAGTAGGAGGTGACTGACAAGGGCTGACAGAAGACAATGGACTATGACATACATCATCATTGATTGTAATGGGACTAGGAGATTTTTGTGTGAGATTGGATTCATGTTGAACAATAGTGTAAGAGTTGGAATCAGATTTTTGTCCACTAATGTTATCATGTTCCTCAGAAGAAACATGAGATGGTGAAGCATAAATAGGTACAGTATTTTCCGTAGCAGGCAACGGGCAAGGAGTATAACCATGAATTGAGAATTCCACACACAATGGGTACTTGCTGAAATCAGTCTGAAGAACCTTAAGGTTGAGGAAAAAACGGAAACTGGCTTCATCATTGATATACACAGGTGGAGGGCAACCATCAACCATGTAAGATAACTTCAACTCACTTGTTGCATTGTAAGAATCACTTAATATGGAAGAAAGTTGCTCTATAAAGTCTTTGTATGTAGATGAGTAAAGAACTTGAATAGCAAAGGTGAGGTTACTGTTGAAGTTATAGTCATTGGTCCAACTTCCACCCAACTTCAGCATAATCATAACAATGGAATCCATATGGATAACTAGATAAATAAATATAAATTGTTCAAATAAAATGAAAAACAATATGACAACTATGAATACACATTATGCCAAGATTAAGTCATTAAATTCAAACTGAAAACACCAAACACAGAATCCCAGCCAAAACTCAAATGATGACCATGAGTACACATTATGCCAAAATTATGTCATTAAATTGGAAATGAAAACACCAAATACAAAATCCCACACGCAAGTCAAATGATGACTACGAGTACACATTATGCCAAGATTATGTCATTAAAATTCCAACTGAAAACACCAAACACAGAATCCCAAGCGCAAGTCAAACGATGACCATGAGTACAACCATGAAGGATAAGCGCATATATGTATACTGAATGACATATTTTCCAGATTTCAACACAGACATGGAACATGATTTTAGGTTTCGGAATGTATAACAATGACAAATAAAAACAAATACATTAAAATATCCTTCAATTGTCGCTACCTTCTTCTACAACATCCGATAATACAGAAGATGAATAATGAAGAAACTGATAATATTAGCAGTTAGATAATTACCAGAACAATTGGAACACTTCACATCAACATATGCGTTTGGTCGTAGCTTATGATAGACAGAGCAAAGATGAGATATGGCATAAGCGATTGGTTGATACAGAAAGACACGGTGAAAACGGAAGGAGATAATACAGGGGAGCGTAAAACAAGGGGAAAGCATCGTAACTGAAAGTCTGAAAATCAGGAAGCGAACGAAATGGGGAAAAAACGGTTACGCGGATGGGGTATGTTACGCAGATGGGGTATGTTACGCGAAGGGCAAATCTGTACGGGTAAAAAACGTTAGTTTTAGTATAGGATTAATAAAATCCTACTTAGGGAAATAAACATACTTAGTCCTAATTAAGAATTTTAAAAGTTTTTTAGTCCTACATGGGACAATTTCTTTACATTAAAGGTGTTTCATCCCTCCAACAAAAATGCAACTTTTGAGAAGTTGAGAATATTAAGGCATTTCGTTGAAGGTGTGATTAATAATGACCATGTGGTGAAATTTGTTTGCAGAGTAAGATCAAAGAATGTACAAATTTAAGAATTTTTACATGTTTGGACTTTCGGACTAAATGCACCCACCCCCAAAGGTGTTCTCCCCACTATAAGTCATATAAAGGAATCCATCTTCATCCTTGTTCTCCTCATAAATTCCAGACATCATAGCAGCTGCAAGTGTACCAAAAAAGGCACTCATTAAGGGAAGGAATAAGCAAAGAACAACAGAACATCCACGGGCAGACCGTAGTACAGACCCGGGGGGCAACCACCCCCCAACAAGAATTTTTTTTAGTGTATATATATATGAAAAATAATTTTCTCCCTCCCAAAAAATATTTTGAACCCCCAAAAATATTTTCGCCCCAAGATGACTTTCCTGGGTCCGTCCCTGAGAACATCTCCAATGGTAGGAGCCAGTTTTGGATTCTCAAGTCACTATTTCAAACAATTACCAATGGGTCACGCCGCGCGCCACGACAAACACTTGTTGATTAATCCCGCTGTTCTCTAATGGCGCCCCATTACTCACTCAAGTCATCTTGTTGATTAAGCTGCCATCCCGTATTTCACTTCTTTTTTTGCTTCTTAATTTTTAATAATTAAAGAATCCAAAGGGGCATGTTTGGTGACATTATCCCAAACTTATCTACCACCTTAGACAATTATTTGAGGACGTATTATGTATTTTATTGCTGCTTTAATAAGAGCATCTTATTGTATGAAAACCATTCTTGTGGGTGGATCCAAGGTAGAATGCTCTGATGATAAAACAACATAAAAAGCTGTTCTTGTATAACAAATAGGATTATAGGATGACAAATCAGTCATTGTACTCACCAGTTGGTGGAAGCGTGTTCTTGACAAATACAAATATAGCCTTCTCAGCACCAAGCTTGATCCTCTTTCGGACCACATACACAAACTGCCCAACGGTCAGGTCAGCTGGGACAAGGTATCTACCACCCAACAAGAAAAGAACAAATGTACAATGATCAAACAATTACACAGATTTTTACTTTTGACTCATCATCATCATCATTACCCTAGTGCCGCAAAGGCTCCCACTTACCGTGGGGTAAAGGGGGTCGTGGGGTAAAGGGGGTCAGATGTACGCAGTCTTACCCTTGTACTAAAGCAAAGAGACTGTTTTCGGATGACTCATAGTTTTTACTTTTGGCTGAACATCCAAAAATAACCCTGAACATTCAGCAAAAAATCCTCATTAACCATTAACTTTTCAGGCATCTTATTTCTTTTGCCGCTAAATAAACTCAGTAATGACCCTGAGCTTTCAAAAAACTCAAGATCTGACTCTAGAAACGTCACAATGACATAAAGCACATCATATCCATAAATGTCTGCTGAAATCGTATCAAATGCTTGATATTGTAGTGTGTTTTTGCCGTTACAAAGTAGTCTTATCATTACATATCTATTTGTATTTTGTAATTGAAGCAATGCATACATGACATGTCCAAAGTTAGTTAGGACTTTTTTATTTATAAATTAGGGTTATTATTATTGAGTTATTTTATATAGTTTAGGGGCTAAATGGGACCCTTGAAGAGTTCAAGGTCAATTGGGGTTTCATTAAAATGGCCGGGGTCACTTGTGGTATATATCCATAACTTCTTAGAAAAAAAAGTTAGATAAAAGGAAATAGTGAAAATATGAAAGACATAAGAATCAACATTGAAAATGTTAATTAGTGGATTAAACTTGATTTAAAACAAGAAAACAATCATCAACTAGATGGCTACAAAAACATTTTGCGGAAGATGGAGAAGAAGGAACCTACTTTTTCTTATCAATATCAGGAATGTCACTCCTTTCTGCTTTCTCAACAATCACCTGAATACAGAAAATGAATGTAAAAGAAAGCATAACAGAGACAGAAGAGGCAAACCATTCATAAGAAACTATACTTACTGGGATTCTATCAGGATACTTCTCCCGAATACGACTAGATTCTGCCTGCCTTCTCTCTAACCAAAATTAATGATTCTCATTAAAAATTCAGCGTGACAAACTTCATTATTCAGCATAGAAATTTAAAATCAAGTTTTCATAAGATTTTAACATAATAAGGCACCAAGAAAAACCAAACCGATTGATGTTCCGTAAACATTCTAAATACTACTCCCTCCATCCCTCAAAAAAAGTTCTGTTTCATAACCCCTTAAATGTCATATTTAACAAAAGAATCTAAATATCATTATATTTCATTATTTAAATGTTTTTTTCATGGAAAAAGTGTCAAGAGCAGCAGCTTATCACATTAAATTCAGGTAAATCTATAAGTATAGCTATTGTCGATTATCTTGAATAGTTGTATCTTCTGGTAAACAAAAAGTAGTTCATTATGCTAAAACAGATGCAACTTGTGTTTTGACATAAAAAACGTATACGTTTAAATTAAGGAAAATAACATTGTCCCACTAGTAAACATGGCGATCACCATCAAGCAGCTCAAATCGATTCAAACCAAACTTTTACACTTGATAATTATCAAACATCTATGCTGTAGTTTGGTAAACCATAATGACATTCAATATAATCAAATACTCTTTCCGTTCTACAATAGTTGACAACTAGATATTTCACGGAGATTAAGAAAACATAGTAAGGAATAATAATTGTGCTAGAAAATGATAGAGGAAAGGTAGTAAAAGTACAAAAAAGTTTAAACTACACCTAAGAACTTCTTCAACAAAAGCAGGGTAATCTTGAAACTAAAAACTACTAAATTCGCATATAGTCAATTAATCATCACCTTAATTAATCAAGTCTGGTTCTCTGGTAAGATGCATGAAACTTAAAGCGTCAATCATTCTCAACTATAGCCAAATTAAATCCAATTGCGTTCTTATAAACAGATCCACAATCACAATTTCTAGTTTTTTCACAACATTACATGCAATAATTATTATTAATATCATTTGAGACTTCAACCACACCCTTCCAACAAATGCACGCAATTTCCCCTCAATTTTAACATGATTACTGAAAGACCCAAAACAGGCATGCCCAAATCAAATACAGGTTTATGCATTGAATATTTAAGATGATAAGATGTGAAAGTATATGTGTGTGTACGGTATACCCAAAGGATGATCAAGCTGGAATGAACTCTTTGCCATGGCAAGACTCGAACTTTGATCTGTCCACAAAATTCAGGCATACGAAAGCATTCAATCCCAGAAATACAATGAAACTTAGATGCGTGCGGATACTTTTATCTGAAAAGAAGCTTTCAACTCACAGAAAACGTGAAGAAGAAGAAAAACCAAGAAATGTACTTCAAGAACAAGAAGAGTTGCTGATTGTTGAAGCGAACTATATAGACTCATCAAATACCATACTCTTACACTTTTCTTTTTTGTCGTCTCATGTTAAACTTGTCAAATAGTGTTAAACAGTGTCAAAAGTGTACTCTTAAAGTCAAATTTATTTTCTTAATATGTGTGAAGTCAATGTGTGAAGTACTTCTTTTTTAAGGGATTTGTGTAAATACACACTTAAATACATGTGCAAAGTCTAAAAATATACGTTGTACTTCGTATGCGTGTAAAATTGTAAAAATATACTACCTCCCTCCCATAAAATAAGTCTCACTTCAATTTGGATCAGAGTTTAAGAAAGTGAGAATAAAGTTGAAATGTATGGTTGTGATTGAGTAAGAAAAAAGTAAATAAATGTTAGCCACACAAAATTTTCCAAAAAGGAAAATGAGAACAATTTTTTGGGACAACCCAAAAAGTGAGTATACACCTCTCAACTTCTAAAAAGTGGAAACTATCCTAATAATCTTATCGAGAAGTAAATTAACCTTGGTATTTTTAAATAAAAAAAATAAGAACACCAAAAACTCAAAATATATTGGGTTTAGAGAATGGAAATCCTAAAATTGAAAAACTTATTTTTCTTCAAAAAAAGAATAACCCATAAAAAAATTAAAATATAATTTCGTTATTGAAATAAATAAAAATAAAGATTTATTTATGTTGAAATATTAACACTTTAATTTTAGTCTTGTTGCAAAATTGTGAACACGTTATTATATTTTTTGAAATCTTAGACTTGATAAAATTAAAACCTTGTTGAAACATTCTTGATGTTGTTTAAACTTAATAAAATTAAATTCATTATTTGTAATTTTAGATTATTTATCATCATACAAAATATGTTAAGTTAATATAGTCCAAACAATACCAAAAATTAATAGTTTTTACATTGCAACATACTAGATCTATCCCACTAACAGTGATACATGAGAAGGTGGTGCACTTATTAAGAAAAATGAGTTTATGTGATTGATATTGAATTGTTAAAACAAAAATAAGGTAAAACTAATTTAGAATCACACATACTTTATCGAATTTGATATGAAATAATCTCATTGGGACATGTCAAAAATAGATGCAACAATTTTAGCGGAACAGAGAGACTATATATTAACACTTTCCTAAGAGAACCATAAATATATAGTAATATTTTGAAACAATTTTTTAAACTAACAATATTAATGTGTGATATAAAAATAATAAGAGGAATAATCAAACACAAAACACTTTTATTTTAATTTTAATTTTTTCAATTTCCAAATTCAATATATAATTTATTTTTGGTTTTTATTATTTTTGTATTAAAAATCAAGGACCGATTTGCTCCTTTCTAAAAACATTAGAGGCATTTTTGTATTTTTAGAATTTCAAAGGTATATATGCACGTTCGAATATACTTTAAATGCTTATTTACACCTTTCATGTTTTTGTACATCGTTAGGGTAGGCTACTGATGCAGGCATTTTTTTAGGTTCCATATTAGGAGTGGACTCGGGCCGGGCCAACCGGCCCGGAACCGGACCGGCCCACTACTGTGCGGGCCCGGCCCGGTGAACCGGTTGGTGTCCGGTTCGGGCCACCCGGCCCGGTGAGGTAGGCGGGCCGGGCCCGGGCCTTCTAAATCGTGAACCGGCCCGGTCGGTTCTTGCTCGGTCTGGGCCAAATTATTTTTTTTTCTTTTTTTTTTTTGAATTTTTTTTAAGTTTTTGGGTTGGGCTGGGTATGATGGGCCATTTGAGGTGGTTTGGGGTGGTTTGGGGGTGAGGGGGAGGGTTGGGGGTTAATTAGGAAAAGCCAAAAAAAAAACGAGACCCGGCCCGGACCGGACCCGGGGGTTACCCGGGCCGGTTCCGGGCCTCCCCTTTCATGAACCGAGGCCCGGCCGGGCCTAGGCCCGAACCGGGCCCGAACCGGAACCGGTCCATCCCTATTCCATGTCGTTCGATTTTTTGTTCTATTCCATATTCATTGAATATGATTATATATCATTATTATATGATTGCCCTAATGACTACAAAATAAAAGACATCGTGTTTCTATTTGCTTCCGCTTAGTTTGTTGTTTTTGTTTGTTGTTCTGATAACAATATATTCGGGGGCGGAGTTAGGGCACTGAGCCAGATTGAGCCGGTACAAAGAATATTATTGGAAAAAAAAATACACGAAATTTTTTACACTAAAAATATTGACATTTTTTAAATTTGGGGTGGGCCAAGGCCTAGCCTGGTACCCCTAGCTCCGCCCCTGAATATACTAAGATTTTATTAAATATTAAATATGATTTGATTATTCAATTATTTCCCGATTTTGATTTGGTTTGGAATCATACGATTTCAAAGAAATATGACTATTCGATCAAATTACCCATAGTTTGGTTTCAATTTGTTTGGATTTGGCCGAGCTGAACTGAAGTGACTTGTACTTAATTGAATAGTCTAGCTGTCTAGGTAAAGGTTATGGAAGTTATTACTTGGACTCTAATTCCTCACAAGACAAAATCAGACCAGACTAGATCAGTTCTGACCAGGCTTGGATAGTTATAAAAATACAAAGAAACCAGACAACATCAGACCAGCAAATTACAGTCCAAGTAAAAACATCATATATGTTTCATCTAAATGTTCTTGAAATAAATAACACTCTTAAATGAGACCTTAATGATCATGTATAAAAGGTAATAAATTGTGGATACATTCAATATACTTCGTAAGTTTAATAAATTATAATCATGCATATATTGATATTGTGTGTTCAAAGAAAGTGCTTTAACACTTGTGAATAACTTGACATATTTCTTTACAAAAATATCTTTGTTGATTAATATTGACAAAAAACGAGAGTCAATGACTTCCATTCTAAAACAAAAGAAATCAAATACGTTCATATCCCAAAATGGCCTTCTCCTTTTGAAGTTTAAAAGGTGAAAGTTGTTTGAAAAAACTGAAAAATTTATTGAAACATGGATTTTCACTTGAACTGAAATTTCATGATCTTATCTGTTTAAATCTAATATAATCTATTCAAATATGATATTATCTAATAAACCTCTTGTACATGTTTACTTTACTAATTGTCAATTTGATATGTTTAAGTATGGTACGAAATGACCTTGTTCTAGATTACAGAAGTCCAAGTGAAAACATATAAAAAGAGTAACATCTATCGTATACTCGTATGTCCCTTTAAGAAAATGAGTCACATTGAAGCTAAAGGTCATTAAAATTTTAAAATCAAGATTCAGGCATTAAAAGAGAAAGTAATAACCCGTCCTCAGATTTACCAAAAAAAAACTCGACCGCAGTAAAATTCTTGTATTCTAATGTTTAGTTTATTGCCATAGTACAGTTCTTGCATGCCCGAATACAATAACTCATGCAATCATGCATTGCTCCAATTTTTCATACATAATCGTACATATACATTTTGATTGATAGGAATAGATAATAAGTTGGGCCTATTATTATAGATAATAATAAGTGGGTGAAATATTAGTAGCAGGGAAAGGGTTATGGGCTATATTAGTAGTCTACCCCTACGGGAGTATTAACTATAAATAGATATGAGAGTAGCTAGAGTAGCTGGAGATTGGGGCATCTCGAACTGTCCTGGCTTTGTGTAATGTTTTTGAGTTCTTCCCAATCCATCTTTGTTTTCTAGATAATTTCTACAAATTCATCTAGATTACTACGAGTGTTCTATCATTGGTATCAGAGCATAAGATGGATTCGCTGGAGAATATGAGGGATTCGTGGGAGAGGCATCAGACATCGATGAAGAAGAACTTAACAGACCTGAAAACAATGGCGGAAAACCTTGACAGAAACCTAGCTGCGATGGAAGAACAATTTAAGACTAGACGACGATCGCGGTTGCCAAGAATGTCCCTCACTTCGCAGAAGTCTTCGCCAACAACATCCTTCAGTTCGCATATGTGAACTATTTCTCCCAGATTGTCGCGAACTGCGCAGGTTTCATCCAAATCGCGAGAAACTCCTTCTTCCGGTTCTCAGGTGTCTTCTCTCAGTTCGCATATTACGTCGCAAGTAGAAGATTCTCTCAATTCACAGTCGCCAATCCTTTCTACTCGTTCGCAGACTCTGATGCACGCTGTTTCTCAGAGTACGCAGGTTTTGTCGCCATCGGATCCTCCTGGTTCGCACCTTAAGTCTGTTAATCAACGACAACCTCCCTCTGAAGATTCAGCACCCCTCAAACTTGAAATTCCTTGTGGTCAGGAAGGAAATCATACAGACCACACTGAGACGACCTTGGAACTGATCAACAAAATCACAGGGGCTGATGTGGAGGGCCTGTCTCAAACACGAATGCGTACCTATGATGTTTGTAGATTTATGATTGAAAATGAACTCAATCCTGCGATCTTCCCAGATGCCTGGATTAGTGGTGAAAGTGTAAGGAGATTGATGGTTCAAAAAGTGAGGTGTGTTCATGCCAAGGCATTGTCATGTTCAACAGTTCTCAGCTACGGGGACCACTCTGAATCAGGAAATGGATCACCGGAAACTCAGCCACCTACACTGACCCCTGAGTTGATGCCAGTTGTACCATCAGTTCTGGAACCTGATACTGACTATGACCTTATTCAACTTTTAGATTACCAGTTGAGTAGAATCATTGTGGATCTGGGCCCTCCTATTCAGACTGCAGGAATTGATGCCTTCAAGAGGGAACAACTCATGAATTTATCTTTAAAGCCAGAAATTGCTAGTGGGGTCAAAATTGATGGAAATTGGAAAGTGGCTGGATGGACTGCACACTCTTTAGGAACTGTTCAACAAGTAATTTACACCTATATTTTTCCTATGATGCAATCCAAACAAGAGACTGATTTACAGGATACGCAATTAGAATTGGGTAGCTTGCTTTAGGGCCTCTTGGCTATGCCCAAATTTGTAATCAATATGGTTTTTCAACCGTTAGTCAGAGAATTCTTGAAGTGGTGGATTGATCAAACAGTTGAAGTTTGTATGTGTGTTCTTAAAAAGGTTAAAACTGGTTTGTTCTTTGATCCATTTAGAGATGAAACTCCTCAGATTATGTCTGCCTT